AACACCAAGTCAAGGGTTGAGATCCCCTTACCGGTCATCTTTTAAAAAAAAAAAAAAAAATAGTTTCCTTCTGTACCTATTTGCTGAGAGTCTTTATCATGAAGGGATGTTGAATTTTGTCAAATACTTTTTCTGCATCTATTGAGATAATAATTTGTTTTTTGTCTTTGATTTTGTTGATGTGGTGTATCACAGTTATTGACTTGTGTATGTTGAACCATCTTTGCATACCTGGGATGAATCCCACTTGATCACGGTGTATAATTTTTCTGATGTGTTGCTGTATTCTGATTGCTAATATTTTGTCGAGGATTTTTGCATCTATGTTCATCAAAGATATTGACCTGTAATTTTCTTTTTTCATTATATCTTTGTCTGGTTTTGGTATCAGGGTGATGATGGCCTTATAGGAGTTTGGGAGAATGGCTTCTGCTTCAATTCTTTAGAATAGTTTGAAGAGAATTGGTGTTAATTCTTCTTTAAAGGTTTGATGGAATTCAGTTGTAAAGCCTTCCAGTCCCAGGCTTTTCTTTGTTGGAAGATTTCTAATTATTGCTACAATCTCTTTGCTTGTTATTGATCTGTTCAGGTTTTCTTTGTCTTCTTGGTTCAGTCTTGGTTGTTTGTATTTGTCCAGAAATGTATCTGTTTCCTCCAGGTTTTCATATTAGTTGGGATACAGTTGTTTATAATAATCTCCAATGATTTTTTTTTGTATTTCTGTGATTTTGGTTGTAATGTCTCCCTTTTCATTTCTGATTTTTGTCATTTGGGTCTCCTCCCTCTCTCCCTCCCTCCCTCTCACTCTCCCTCCCTCTCTCCCTCCCTCCCTCTCACTCTCCCTCCCTCTCTCCCTCTCTCCTTCCCTCACTCCTTCCCTCCCTCCCAGCTAATGGTTTGTCTATTTTATTTATCTTCTCAAAAAACCAAGTTTTTGTTTCATTGATATTTTGTATCATGTTTTGGGTCTCTATTCCATTTAGTTCTGCTCTGATCTTAATTATTTCTATCCATCTACTACTTTTAGGATTGGATTGTTGTTTTTCTAGTTCTTCGAGATGTAGCCTTAGGTTGTTTATTTGAAGATTTTGTATTCTTTTAATGTAAGTGTTCTTTGTAATAAACTTCCCACATAGTACTGCTTTTGCAGTATCCCACTGGTTTTGGTATGTTGTGTCTTTATTTTCACTAGTTTCAAGAAACTGACTTCCTGTTTAATTTCCTCTTGGACTCATAGGTCATTCAGGAGCCTGTTGTTTAGTTTCCATGCACTTGTATAATTTCCAGAGTTTTGCCTGTTATTGATTTCCAGTTTTAATCCATTGTGGTCTGAAAAGATACTTGGAATGATTTTGTTTTTATTAAAATTTGCTGAGACTTGATTGGTGACCTAATATGCAGTCTATCCTGGAGGATGTTCCATGTGCTGATGAAAAAATATGTGTTCTATAGTTGTTGGGTGAAATGTTCTGTAGATATCTGCCAGGTCCAATTGGTCTAAGGTAGTTTAAATCCTGTTTTCCTTTGTTGATTTGTTGCCTGGAAGGTTTGTCCAGTGCTGAGAGAAGGGTGTTCTGGTCATCCACTATTATCATATTAGGGTCTATCTCTTTCTTTAAGCTTAAGAGTGTTTGCTTTATATATCTGGGTGCTCCAATGTTGGGTGCATACATATTTATGATTGTTATGTCTTCTAGCTGGATAGATCTTTTTATCATTATATAGTGGTCTTCTATGTCTCTTTTTATGGTTTTTAGTTTAAAGTCTATTTTATCTGAGATAAAAACACCTACTGCTGCTCATTTTTGGTTTCTGTTTGCATGGTATATCTTTTTCCATCTCTTCACTATTAGTCTGTGAGTGTCTTTACAGGTGAGGTGAGTCTCTTGAATATAGCATATAGTTGGGTCTAGCTTTTTAATCCAATTAGTCAGTCTTTGTCTTTTGAATGGGGAGTTTAGTGCATTTACATTTAAGGTTGTTAGTATTAACTTAAAGTTGTTATTGGGGAGTTTGGGTTGTTATTTTGTTTAGATGTCTTAAAGGTCTTTTTCCTTTTTTCC